CTTGAGAAAAATGTGCATAGATCTTAAATGTCAGAAAATGTTTGTATTCTATCTTGCTAACACTGGGTCTGTATTTGCTGAATTTCATATTCTCGATCATTTATATGAGGCCTGTTTTTCCCCCTTTCTTGAAATTTTTACTATCTTTCTGAAAGTTTACAGCAGTTGTGTGTTCCTTTCTCATTTATTGTGCTGGGTTCTAAGTAGACCATTTCAGTCTGGAAACTCATGTTTTTCAGGTCCAGAAAATATTCTTGTAATATTTCTTTTGACAATTTTTTCTCTCCTGTATTCTATTGTTAGGATGTTGGGCCTCCTTGTTTCATCTCTTTTCTGATTTTTTTAAAAGAATGAGATATTTCCTTAGCTTTATTTTCTACATCTTTTACAAATATATAGATTTACAAAATATCAATATGTAATATGTATAAATTTACAATCTATATACAGAGTGGGGAAAAAGTAGGTTTACAGTTTTAAGTACATGAAATAGTTTATTCTTGTATTATTATCCATATGAACAATGGTAAACCTACTTTTGACCCACCTTGTATATATAAATTGCAAATATATATAATTTTAGCTACTAAAATTTTTAAGAACCCTTTATTATTTTAATAATAATTTCTGCTTATTCTTTTTTCTTTTTCTTAATAGCATCCTGATTTTGTTTTAAGGATAAATAGCTTATTTTTATTCTCTCTGAGATCATTAAAGTGTTCTTTTTAGTGTGTAGTCTCTTGAGTTTCCATTCTTGTTTTGATGTCTCTTATGTTAGAGGCTTTCTTCAAATGTCAAGTAATCCTTGGTTTTCTGTTGATATTTTAAAAGTTAGGTTTAAAAAATGCTGATTGGAAGCTCTGTGTGTGTGGACTCGGCTTTATGAACTATAGAGTGCTCTGTAGAATAATTGGGTTATGAGTTGACTTTTTATTGGGAAAATTCTAAATGTCTGTACCAACAGGCACATGAGATATTTACCTGTGTAAAATTTTGTGAAGGTTAGTTATATTTGGCATCATAAACAACTTAAAATTCAATGTTAGGTACATGAATTCCTAAAAATTTCGGCTATTTGATTCATGCTGACCCACGTCTATCCCCAATCAGGTTTATAAATTGTTTCCCTAAATGAAGCCAATTCTTTCAAAAAGAATTATTGCTCAGTTTGTGCCATATACCCAAATATCAATTGTTGAGTTATAAACTCTGTTACATGATAGCTATTGGCTAACTTGACTTCTGAACTGGTGCCAACTTAATCACATGTCACTTTTATTTCCTCATAATGTGTAATTATTGCATGTGGACCCATTCTACTCATTAAGATAATTACATTTATCTTGAAGTTCATCCATCTCCTTGTTTTTGTGACTTTGCTAAAAGCCCATGTTTATGGATCCTCTTCATGAGTGAGATTGAGATTTTCTACATATTGGAATAACCACACTGGAAAGCCCTGTCTATTGACTTTCAGTGTAACTCTATAACCCGTTGGCAAACTTCCTGTTAAGGGCTCCTCCCCACCCCTTAGGTCAGTGATGGTGAACCTTTTGAGCTCGGTGTGTCAGCATTTTGAAAAACTCTAACTTAACTCTGGTGCTGTGTCACATATAGAAATTTTTTGATATTTGCAACCATAGTGAAACAAAGGCTTATATTTTTGATATATATTTAAATGCCATTTAACAAAGAAAAATCAACCAAAAAAATGAGTTCGTGTGTCACCTCTGACACGCGTGTCATAGGTTCGCCATCACTGCCTTATGTGGTATGAAAGCATCGTAGTTGTAGCTGTAGCTGGATCCTTACATGATTTCTTTTCTGTGGAATCAAATACTTGATTTGCTGGTCTTATCTTAGTAGACCTCCTAGCAACATTTGATTTACTGGGTTGCTCTCTGCTTCTTGAATCTTTCCCACATACCACATTCTTCTGATTTTGTTTCTACCTCCTATCACATTGGCCACTATTTTCTATTCTCTAGGTTCATCTTTTCAATTTGACCTGTGATGTGAGAGTGCTTCAGGCTCTTGTTCTCACCTCCTCTCCTCTCTGTCTCTTAAGGTGATTCTATCCAGTTCCTGGCCATATGCTGATGACTCAGTCTCTAACTGTGTTGTAGCCCCAGGATTCCTGAGTCTATTTGCCTACTTGACATCTTCACATAGTGTGACTCAAAAGTTATGTATTGAACATCTATCTACACACGCCCTAACTGCCCCTTACATACCTCTTTCTTCCCCTTTTGTAAAATGGCACCACCATCCAGCCACTTGCTCAAGCTCAAATATGACAATTATTCTTTATCCTTCTTCCACTTGACACAGTGGTTCTTAACCTTCTGGCCCTTTAAATACAGTTCCTCATGTTGTGACCCAACCATAAAATTATTTTTGTTGCTACTTCATAACTGTAATGTTGCTACTGTTATGAATCATAATGTAAATATCTGATATGCAGGATGGTCTTAGGCGACCCCTGTGAAAGGGTCGTTTGACTGCCATAGCGGCCACGACCCACAGGTTGAGAACCGTTGCTCTAGCTCTTACCTACCAACCCTGCATCTGGTTCCTCACAGCACCAAGCTCATTGCCGTCCTGGAGTCTGTGAACAAGCACTTCCTCTGCCTGGAATGACCTTCTCTCTTACTCTTTCGCGTCACAGTCTTATCTTCTGTTCTAAAATGTCACCTCCTCAGAGTCCTTCCCTGGGCTCCCAATAGAGTGGCACTCAGTCATTTTCTTTCTCATCAGCCTATTTTTATTCTAACACTTATCACTATCTGATATTTTAATCATTTACCTGAATGTAAACTCCTTGAGAGCAGTGACCTTATCAGTCTCATTCAACATAGTATCATCAGTGCCTGGCACTAAGAAAGCCCTCAATGCCTGGTTTTTGAAAGAATGTGTTAATAGATGGATGAAAGGTATTTTAGAAGCCTTATGGTCGGTCTCTCTCTCTCTCTCTCTCGGTGAGTAAACCAGAGAGAAAAGCAACTTGCATGTAGATTGGCAGCTATTTGTTATAAATTTGTTCACTGTTACACTGACCTCAGCTACATCCAGTGGCAAATATTTTTTAATTATACTGTTGGTTCTACCAATCTAACCAATTCATTGTCCCACCTTAAGGTCTCATCAGCATAATCCAACCTGAGGGTGCTATGGACAGAAGTCAGCTATATGTTTTATTGTGTCATTTGCCAATGACTGGTCATCTTTATCCTGTGGCAGTTATGTAAGCTTTGTTCATAAACTTTGAGAACTGGCTTTTTGGCTATTCTCTCTTGTCGGCTCACAACAAACCCACTTTTTTGTTATTTAAAACCAAGTTCTTAACATGCTAAGTCTCAATTTTGTTGCCTGCTCAGCCTTGCCATGATAGCGGAGGCGGGGACCCAACAACAAACTCATTCTGTCCCTTTTCTCCTCTGTTTAGAATAATAAATATGAAATTCACTTCACAGGGATTAAATGAGCTCATTAATAATCCAGCTAGTTGGATTAAATAAATTTATGAATATGAAACATTTGCTGAGTGTAAGATGCATTACAGATATGAGATTAAATGCAAGAGATTGCCCATATTAATCATAAGCAGGTAGCGTTAGCTTGCTGTTTTTAGTTATTAACAATAGAAATAGCAAACACAACATATTAGTTTAGTACATGATTAGGAGTCCGGCATTGTTATAAACACTTTATATATAAATCCATTTTGATGCTCACAATCATCCTATGGCTCAGGGATTACTATTATCCAATTTCATATATGAGCAGAGGCCCAGACTCACAGAGCTAGGCAGAGACAGCTCGGGCAGTCTGGCGTCAAAGGTCAAGCTCTTCGCCACTATAAACAACATGGCTTGGACACCTTTCCAGATGAGTTTGTGGAGCTTTGCATAATGTTACTACCTACAGAACATTCCATTGCATGATGTCTTTTATTTCTTGACTCACAATTAGTGAGAATTTTAATTTCTTCCAGATTTTATTACTAAACATAAACTGCAAAAAAAAGATAAGATGAAGCTGCTCTGGACAGCCCAGTGCTTTTGTGTGAATCTGTCTACAACATACATTTCTCGAGGCGGCTAGCTGAAACAAAGAACTTGTGTGCTAAACTTTTTGAGTTGACAATAACAAATTGCTCTCCATAATGACTAGTCATTCCACCTGGAGTCTACAGACCCCAAGAATCACTGCGAGGACTTGTCATTTCTTGTGCCTCTGTTCTTGTTTTTTTAATCTAATATTTTAAAAATCGGATTGCTCTGCTGTTTGACGAGGAATTTACCACATGGCAAACAACGTTTTAGGAGAGCTCCCCGTATGTCTGTGAGGTGAGGTGTCCGCTCCTGCGCCTGCGCTGCCTGGTACCCTGAGGCTCAGGGAGGCTGTTCACCTGGGCTCAGCCTGAGATATTTATTGGCTCTTGAAGATTTATTTAAGCAGAACCTCTAAACCAACATATAGTTTCACTCACTTACACTCCAGGGAGAGGGAGGAGAACTGTGAGGAGCAAAACGCCACAGAATGCAATCACCCCTCACCCCACCCTGGCAAACTTCTGAAGAAATGGAATTGATCACGTCCTTCCCATTTCAAGTCTCTCTTTCTAACCAGAGTTTTTTCTCAGTGCATTGGCATGTGAAAAGTCCATGAGGAAAGGAAATTCACAAGGTTACTTTATTGACTAAGATTGTGCCTGCCTCCAAGAAGATACTGCAGTCTTCTCCAGCTACGGTAGGAATGGAGCATCGAGAAAATGTCTTGCATTTCAGTAGGAGGGAACTTAGAGAACAGGAAGATCAGTACTAAAATTTCCCTTTCTTGAGAAAAGTAAAGCTTTGAGAGGTTAAAGGACTCAGTGTAGCTTATTCAGGTAGAGTGGTGAGGTCACAGCTGAGACTTGGATGACAGTTTCAGAGTCACGTGGTCTCTATTGCACCTGCGGGGTGGGAGGAGGGGGTCGGGGAGGGCTTGGGTCTCCAAGCCTGACTGCTACCTGCGTCTAGTCTCATCTAATCAGCATTCTGACATCCTCCTCTGTGCTCCAGGCACACGGAGCTGCTGGGTAAAATATAACAAAACTGTTACATCGTGGAGGGAGGATGATTCCCATCTGCCAAAAGAAGGAGAACCCCATAAGCAACATGGTGAGTGCACGAGCTGATGCCAAAACAGAACAGGGGACATCGGATGCGGTGTAGGAGCAATCAGCTAGGGTTGGAGTTTTTCACAGAGATCTAGAATAAAAGACTTGGGCCTGTGAGTGGTGAGGTGTGGAAACAAATGCACACATAAAGCTAGAACCAAGGGGGAAATGCTCCCACCGGACAAGGAGATCATAAAACATTGCTCACTGACGACCAAACCACTGGTGAAATTCTCACCAGTTAGCTATCTCCAAAATGAAAAGTTTTTTAAATCTCTGCCATGCATAGGTGCAGAATCCAAACTGCTGATTATTTTCATAGTATAGGATCCCAAATGGAGATATTAATATAGATACTGGAACTATTTCAGACCAGTGAGATCCTGAAGTTCCCAGAGGAATAAAATGCCAGACTTGTTTGAAAGGTTATTACATCTTAAAGTACATAGAAATTCCACCGGGAAAATGTATCCTCGCAATTAAAAAGTACAAATCAAACAAGGAAATGGTCCACAATGGGGGAGAGGACTTGCACCCCAACAACCTGAGAAAACATAACAATCTAGAGCTGTAGGAAAAATAAATAAAGCTGCCTATATGTATATGTGCAATCATCAAGGAGCTAAGGGGAGAAATAAAAAGTTCACGAAAGAACAGGGTACTAAAAAATAACAGGCAGAGATGAAAAACTCAATAGAATAGAGTGGGGCCTTGACTTACGAGTGTCCCGACTAACGAGTTTTTTGAGATATTAGCCGTCTCTCGGCCGATTTTTTGCTTTGAGTTGCGAGCTAAAATTCGGGTTACGAGCCAGCTTCAGATACCCCACCGCTAGTTGGCGCAGCGAACGTCACAGTGAACACCACAACGTCAGCGCAGCATCACGAGTCTCACTCATTCACTTTTTTTTATTTTTTTTTATTTTTTGGTTTGGAAAACGTAGTTTATTTTCTTTTTTTAATTATTATTAGTTAAGGTGTTACAAATGTTTCCTTATCCCCCCCCCTTAACCCTCAACCTCCCCCCGCACACACACTCACACTCGTTCACTTTTGATTTGACGTACGAGTACTTTGAGTTACGAGCTCCATCACAGAACGAATTAAACTCGTAAGTCAAGGCCCCACTGTAATTTAAAATAAAAAGTTGTGAATAGAATTAAACACAAGGGCCAGCTTTCAGAGCAGACTGGCACACCTAAAGAATGGATGATAGGAAAGATAAATTTGAGAAAATTATCCAGAGGGCTGCAGAGAGATAAAAAGGCATAAAATCCAAAAGACAGATTTAAATTAGAAGTTTCAGTTTAGGTTTAATGGGAATGTCAGAAGAAGGGGAAATATTTTAAGTGGAAATAGCGCTGGAAAATTCACAGCCAAGGAAAGCCTCAAACTGAAGAAACTCGCTGAGTGAGTCCTGCACACAATGTGTAAATCTACTCCTAGACTCATGTGAAGAACTGAACTCTGAAAATAAGCAAACGCTAGCAGAAGAGCAAGTAGAGAAAAAAAGATAGTATTGCAAAGGAACAATCATTAGAATAATAGTGGACAAAAGCAAAACAGAGACCAGAATGCAAATCTCTGATTATCAGAATCACCTGAGATGCACATTAAAATGCAATATTATGGTTTTTCCCCAGATGCTCTGGATGGTGTTCAGGAAGATGCCCTTTACAAAAGCTACTCTGGTCATCAGGTAGGTTTAAAACCCCTTTGTTCCTTAGCACCAAATACATAAGTGCACGCAGAGGTTCATCTACAATTGTCCCTCCACATTCACCAGGGACCGGTTCCACAACCCCCCACGGATGCCAAACTTCATGGGAGTTCACGTCCCTTCTGTAAATGGCGTAGTATTTGCATAAAACCTACTCACGCACTCCATATACTTTAAATCATCTCAAGATTACTTATAATTCCTAACACAATGTAGGTGCTATTTAAATAGTTAGACTGCATTGTTTAGGGAATAATGACAAGAAATAAAGTCTATGTTCAGTACAAACGCAATCATCATAGGCCTAGCTACACAGTGTACATCAACAACGTAACATTCTTATGTCAAATACTAGAGGCCTGGTGCATGAAATTCATGCACTCAGGGCAGGGGGTCTTCCTCAGCCCAGCCTGCACAGTCCAGGAGCCCTCAGGGGATGTCCAACTGCCATGGAGGTGGAAGAGGCTACCACCGCTGTGCTCGCCAGCTGTGAGTCCGGCTTCTGGCTGAGCGGTGCTCCCCCTGTGGGAGCGCACTGACCACCAGGGGGCAGCTCCTGCGTTGAGCATCTGCCCTTTAGTGGTCAGTGTGTGTCATAGCAACACAGAGTTGTTCCACCATTTGGTCGATTTGCATATTAGGCTTTTATTATATAGGATTTTTTAAATGTGCAGTTGGTTGAATCTGCACATGTGGAACCCACAAAAATGGAGGGTGGACTATACTCATACCCTCTGATCTCAAAGGTCTGTTAGTGAAATTACTCCTTTCAGCCACCCCTGAAAAAAGTGAGTTTGGATCCATAACCAAGGATTATTTCTGAAGGTTTTTTCTTTCCAGTCTCTAGGGCAGTCATGCTACTTGGTACCAGAAGATGATCCCAAAAGAAAGGCAAGTGAGTTAAGTCCGAGCACCTCCTACCTCCCAATTTCTCTTGTATTGCCATCTGCAATGTAAGAATGGTTAGAATCGGATGTTACAGCATCCTGCCTCGCACCTGAGTCCTGGGTGTGTATTTGATGAGACTCAGGAATAGCCCGTGTTTGCCAAGACACGCTTCCTATGTTACTTGATATTTCATGTTAAATACAAGCAGACATTTTAACCCACCAATACGAGAAATCTAGTCTCTCTGCCTTACAGGCATCTGTTCTCAGACCAAGGGTTGCTCAACTGTTACAATTAGGGCTAATTCTATAGTAAAGTCATACTAACTACAACTATTTACAATAGCCATACTTTTTGAACTAATAGCACTACTTGTAGGAATTTATTCTAAATACCTCAAGCACATACACACAAAGACCCTTTATACAGGCATACTACAGAGGTGTTGTGGGTTTGGTTTCAGACCACAATAGAATGACTATCATAATAAAGAAAGTCATCATCTTTTTGCTGGTGGAAGGTCTTGCCTTCAATTTGTCAAATATGCTGTATCTGTGAAGGGAAGCACAACAAAATGAGGTGTGGCTGGACTCGAAGGGGTTCCTCCCAGCGTGACATACACATAGCTGCAGGAGGGATGGAGGGTAGTGCGGTCTGGGCACACTGTTCCAGACACATGTAATCATGCATTTTGCTTTGGGGCATGAACTCCTGACACACATACATTATACTGTATTTCTCCTTTTAGTAGAGAATGCTTAAACAACGGCATATCCACACCACAGAACCGTGCCAGGTTCAAAATTATGTTTTGAACAGGCAGTTCACAAGAAATTTTAGAAGTACCATAAACATAAAGAAATATTTAACCTCATTAATAAAGGGAATAATAAAACTCCTTTTACTCATAATAAGTTTTTTTTAAAAAAAGAATGATAATATCAGTGTTAGTGAAGGCATGGAGAAATGAGCATTACTTTGCTGTAGGTAGTACAAGTTGGTACATACTTTCTAGATAGAAATTTGATAATATGTAGCCAAAGGCTTAAAAATTCAGTTTTTTTCCCCCCAGCAAATCCACATAAATGATATTCTTTTTAATTTAAATAAGTATAGCATTTTTTATATTATTTAAAAAACTGGGAACAATTTAAGTGTCTGAAAGTAGGAATTATTTAAAATATGGTGCTCTACAATGGAATGTAGTTGGGAAAGATATTCATAATACATTGGTTATGGTTTTAAAATTATAAGATAGAAGGTGAAATAAAATAATAATTTTGTAAAATTATAGATAAGAACACTTAAATGCCAAGAAGGTGATGTAATAAGAAATCATAATGATGGAAAAAATGTATGTTACCAAAAAAACCCGATAATGATTATCTCTGGGTGGTAGAAACTTATGGGTGGTTTTCTTCTTTATGTGGTATTGTCTATAAATTTTGCAATAGAATTTTAATTAAATAAAAAGATAATTATTGAACTCTATCATATGAGATAAGGCGACCTTTTTTTTTTTTTTTGCCATAATTGGCACTGTGACCACAACTATGTAGAAATGTCTACCTTAATAGAAGGAAGGAAGGCACCTCCACTAAGGGCGGTGCTCTTGGCCAGTGGAATAGGGGGCAAATGTTTTTCTATTTCTATTAATGTCTCAGACTTCCCATATATTACCAATTTTATACTTAGAAGAACTAGAAGGAAATGTGTTTTTAATATAAATTAAATTGATAAAGTACTTAGGATCTTCCCTTTACATTTTTATCTTATATGCCTCTCTGCTGTATCAACTATCCATACAGCGTCCTAATGCCAAACTTCTGGGCTCCCACCAGGTCACCGTATCGGGTACTTTTATATAAGACACTACTGAATTTGTGATTTCAATGATGAAACCAGGAGCTTTTCTAGAATCCTCGCCTGAGTCTAGCAGGGAGCTGGGCGGGATTTGAACGTGCTCCTCCCCGTCTCGGAAGGGGATGGAGGTGATGAGATATTGGCACCACTGCTCCAGCCCCACGTGGCAATGCATTCGCTTTCTGGCTTGAACTCCTCACACATATGCTCTGCCTTTCCGCTTTCAAGCAGCGAGCTCCTTGCCTGCACCAGTCTGGATGTCAGCAGGCGGCCTGCTGGCCCCCAACGCTTTCTGCATGAATTACTCTGTGTGGTTTCTGCACATTGAAACTTGGCACCCAGGCACACACACACACCTTCCGGCCTCCCTCCCCTCCCCATGCAACCCCCCATCCCCCCTACATACACACACACTCACTCACTCACTCTGTATTCCCTTACAAGTCATCCCGATTCTTGGCCTGGATATTGAGACAAAGCCAGACTTTCTTCAAGGAATCGCCTCATTTCCATCTGCTGAAATGCCATGTTCCCCTTCCCCTTCCCAGAGAAAGCACACTCTCCAGTCACTCCCTGTCCCATCACCTCAGTCCCCTCAAGGAAGCAACCTTGTCACTCCATGGCCCTGGGGTCTTCTCTAGCTTCCGTCACATTCAGCAGAGGGTATATATTTCTTAGATGGAAATGAGTCCTTCATGAGTTTCCCCCAACTTAGCGGTCAGCCCCACCGTCACACACATGTCCTGCCTTCCGCTGCTGCTCTCACACATGGTCCCTGGACCTGACCCACCTCCTGACGTGTCTCTGCTTTCCCACAGGCTGTTCCCTGGCCTTCTCCTTCTCCACTTTGTCCCCATCAACACCGCTTCAGCGTTCAGAAATCAATTCGAATGTCATCTCCACTGAGAAGTCTTTCCTGACCCTGCTTCCCTCACTCACCTCCCCAATCCAGTGCCAGGTGCCTCACCCATGACCTCTACAAAATCTAAGAGCATTTGCCAGCTCAGCTCTGTGCCTCTGGATTGAGAGGTCCTTGCAAGCAAGGACTGGGTTTTTCTGTGGTTTTGTTCCAGTACCTTGCCTACTTTCATCATTTCCAGGGGATAGCAAGCACTCAGAAATGTGTCCAGCAGTCCTACCCCTGAGAACAATCCCAGCATATGTAAGGCGTGTACAAGAATGTTTGCAGCACCATGACTTTTATTAGTCCCCAAATAACCATTAGTCCCTGGAAATAACCCAAATGCCTGTTAACTGGAGAGCGGGTATGTAAATCATGGCATTTTAAATCAATCAATCCTATGCAACTATGGGAAGGAAGGAATAAATGCTATGAATGGATTTCACAGACCTAATGTTGCGTGAAAGCCATGACGGAGGCGGGAGTCACCTGTGGTGGGAGCAATCAGGAGAGGAGTTACCCCTGAAGGCACAGGGTACCTGATGGGGCCTTGGGGACCCCAGGAATGCTCCAGGGCGCTGGCCACGTGAACATTCTCACACTACGGAAACTCATCCAGCTGTACATTTATAGTTTGTGTACGGATCTGTATCTCAAACTTGAATAAAGGTTTTAATTGAGCCAGTTCCCTTTGTAGAACACTTTCTCGTGGTGTTTGGACAGGGGCAGACATGGTGCGTGTGGGTGTGCCTGCTTCCTGGGTGCCCCCCCCCTCCCAGCCCACCTCACAGCAGTGTCACAAGGCAGAAAGAATTTGTAGCAAGTCAGAAAACTCTCGCTGTAGAGAGTTTAGCATTTGCTTTAAGAAACGCGCTGCAGGTGCTAATTTGGGTGATCTGACTTCTCCACTTAAATTTCAGCAAATCACTGCAACTGAATGTCCCTCTTTGCACGGTGGCTTCAGCCTCCTGCTCCTAAGGCTTTAGTCGCCAACAGGCCTGAGCCTATTGGCCTGGGCACGCCAGCCAAACCTTCCTTCTACTCCGCTGATACCCATGTCACTGCTGCAGTTTAAAATTGGGGTTTTTCTTCTTGGCACCAGGATTGTGCTTAATTATCTAAATTAACATCTTTCAGCTGCTGAGCGGGGAGTGGGAGCGGTTCCCCTCCAAATTTAAGGGGTCCAGAAACACCAGACTATGGGGTGTTTTTAATAATAGATTTTTCTCTATTAGTGGACACGGAGCCTGGCGGCCCTGGGCTGAAACGGCTGCAGCCTCACCCTGGAGCCCGCCCGGCGCTGCAGGAATCACCAGCTCCGCTCCCACTTCCCTGACGGAGGCCTTGCAGTGTCTGCACAGATGGGAACTCTGCTGCCACCCTCTCTGTTCGCATTTCCTGCACTTTTCTTTCTAAGCATTTGCCCGAAATAGAACCGTAGGTTGGGAGTTGTTGTGGGAATTTAGGGGGGTGGCAGGGGTTTGGGTAGCTCCCTGTAATTACCACCTGGAGGTAATTCTATTGGCTACCAGGTGGGGAGGGATTCGGAGGGTGCTCAGCTGTCTCCCCAGGACCAGCACTGGAGTTTCTTCCCGGGGGTGGCTGGGAAGGGCCCACCATGAGGCGGGGTATTAGTGCCGACCCCGTGCGCAGTGACACAGGCAGGAGCCCCCACCAGCCTTGCCACCAGCTCGCCCCATCACCAGGCCTCTGCGCTTTGAGGTCTCTTCCTCACAGGCTACTCCCCTCCTCTCTGCCTTTCCTGTTGGGTCCCTAAAGGCCACTGTCCCTGCTTCTCTTTGCAAAGGTGAATTATCTCCACCCTTCAAGGTCTAGCTCAGATCCCACCTCCTTTGGGAAGCCCTCCTGGATGACTTCAGCTAGAGGCGATTTCCCCCAGGGCTGGGTTTTTAGAGCCCCTGGTGACTGGACGGTCTAGAGCAGCAGTTCTCAACCTGTGGGTCGCGACCCCTTTGGGGGTTGAATGACCCTTTCACAGGGGTCACCTAAGACCATCGGAAAACAAAATTACATATTGTTTTTGTGATTAATCACTATGCTTTAATTATGTTCCATTTGTAACAATGAAAATACATCCTGCATATCAGATATTTACATTATGATTCATAACAGTAGCAACATTACAGTTATGAAGTAGCAACGAAAATAATTTTATGGTTGGGAGTCACCACAACATGAGGAACTGTATTAAAGGGTCGCGGCATTAGGAAGGTTGAGAACCACTGGTCTAGAGGTCATTGACAGCAAGAGTAACATTGACGGTACTTCCCATACGCCAGGCACTATTCTTGGCACTTTACTGTATAAGGTCAGAGCCCTTACAATGACTCCATAAAATAGGTGGTATTATCATTCCCATTTTACAGATGAGGATCCTGAGGCCTGTTGTGATAGCAAAGCTCCCTCATTAATGAGAAGCCCCATTTACCATTTCTTTTACGGACTTGTCTCTTTCACAGCACAAGGCTCAGGGACTGGCCTTGGTAATTGTGCAACTCACACTTGTCCATTTACTTATGTGCTTAATGAGGCTTGAGACCATGAAAATAGAATTTGAAAAGCATTTCTGTTAGTCATATATGCTTCCTTTCCATTTCTGCCCACATGGGGGACTGTGCATTGGAGTAGATGGGATCGATAAAAACCACAATAATAAAAATAAGTCCTTATTTGGAATGTACGATGAGCCAGGTACTGTGGTAAGTAGTATACGTTCATTACCCCTGTTGTTCTCAGCTTCCCCTCCCCCACCCCCAAAAGGCTCTGAGAGAGGTTGCAAAATGCTTGCCAAAGATCAAATGAGTAGATGAAGGCCTTGTAGCAAAGGGAATACAAGTGTAGGAAGTCAAACAAAATCCTGGGTTTAGTTACTACCCAAGAAAGCGTGCCCTAAGGACCCACCTTAGGCGGTGAGCCACAAATTTGGCTCTAGGCTTCCTAGTGTTTATGATTAAAAAAGAAAAAAGACACACAATCAACGACAACATCCAGGTTGCCTTCAAGGTAAAGACCAATCAGCTGTTTAGATAAAGCCCACGTAAGTGGCAAGTGGCGCACCAAGCCATTTCTCGTTACAATCTCGGGCCGGACCAGCCTCATCTTGCTGAAGTGCAGAATGAAGAATCTGTTCAAGGAGGAGGCAGATGTATCGGTGTGGGCATGCAGTGTAATTCGGTTTC